AAAAAAAAAAAAAGAGAGAGAGAAAGGGGAAAAGAAGAGGAGATCTGTAGAAAATATAGCAGAACTGGTGCAGAGAGCTAGACGCAGAAGTTGCAGAGACTTGCAGAATCGAAGTTGCGTGCGGCTGGAAAAGAAGCAGAAATGCGGTAAGCTGAGCAGAAAGGCAGAACTAAAAAGCAGAACCGGACATTGAGCCAAGCAGAAGGGAGAGAAGCTGAAAAAAAAATTAATCAAGTAATTCATTTATTTAATTTTCAATTAATATATTTTTTGGATAGAAATTTTCGTAAAAACTTGGATGCTAGTATTTGAATTTTTTTTTAATTATTACACAATTATAGTTCTCTCAAATATAATTATTTTTGCCCAATCTACAGTCATCGACTAAATATTTTTTGGCGGAATGATTAACTTATTCTGAATCAAAGGTAAATTTATAATTTAATTTTTAAATTTTTTAATTATAATTTAATAATATTAAATTTAATTAAATTATAAAAATTGATCGGTTCATAATTTTATTTTTGATTGATAATTAATTAGATATATATTGTTATGTGTTAAAAAGACTTAAACGAAAATAATATAGTTAAATTAACGTAAATTAATTAAATTAAATTAATAATTATTATAAAAAATTTGTCGTTGTTAATTAATAAATTTAAAATATATTGAAAAAAAAATAAAAAATACGTTAAGATAATTCAATCATTTCATATTATATTAAATCTATTACAAAATTAAAATTCAAATATATTTAAATTTTAAGTAAAATTAATTATTTTGGTGTTAATAATATTTTTAATTTTAAATTATTTTATTTTTTTTATAAATAAAATTAATTTAAATTTTTAAATAATATTAATTTTTTTTTTTATAAATTTAATACTTGATATACAGTCTTTTTGAGAAGATATTTTACTTCAACAATTTTGTATATTAATGAATATAGTAATTAATTATGATAATTTGAAGTAAAAAATATTTACTTGGGAAATAAGGATGCGCCAATGTTTAGATAAGACATTAGATAATACGTATTAGTGAAAACCAGTTGAAATCATAAGGAAACTGAATAAATAAAACTGGTTAAGTAGAATAGAGAACAGATAATCAGAGTAAATAAAATAATTTTGTAGGAAATAAAATAAATTGACTATTGTAATAATAATAATAATAAATAGTGAGTGTAAAATTAATGAAATGAATGGAC